GGCTAAAAAAAGTTGTTGACAAAAGATTTTTGACTTTTTGTTCGACAATAGTTTTAGAGTTTCTCGTCTCTTGTTTGTGTACCATACCAATAGTCCAGTGCTCATTGGTCAGTTTTCAGATTTTGGTATTTCAGAACCCATAGACTCATAGACTCCACAGAGCGGAGAGCCACATACGTATTTAGATTTTAGAGGGCTATGTTCAGGAATAAAAATTGCAGAAGCAAATGAGCAAATTGCGAGTTGTTCTAAAATTAGATGAAGGCTGGTATCAGCACAACCAAAACCTAAGCTCATTGCGTTATGGGGCCCTGGGGGTATGATACGGGATAGGATTGAACGTAAACGCATATTTATTCAACTTTAAAACGGTATATCGGTGTGATCAGAAGAGCCTACCTAAGTTCTTTTTATAGGACTGGTTCGTATGGTCAAAATGGTACACACTTAAATGTTTATACCCGCAATGTACACCTGTGAGCATACAAAAGACCGTAATGGAATAAAGGTTGATCGTAAACGTATATTTATTCGATTTACAATAGTTTCAACGGAAAACGGTTTGAGGAAAGCAACCAACCTATCGTCCTAAATATATCTTGAAAGTCACTGCCCACTGGTCACTGCCCATTGGTCAAATTAAAAAAACTCTATGTACCAATAACGAAGCAATCCACACCTGAGCCAAATTATCAGGTCCCAGGGCCCAGGCCCGGCCACCGCCCCAGTGCCAGGGACAGGGATACTGGTGACCAGGTCCCAGACTCCAGACTCCAGAGTCCTATGTAGTCTCTCAGAGACCAATAATGTAGAACCCCGAGGCCCAGGCTCCTACTCCAGCATAAAACACCGCAAACAGTAAACACTGAACACTACCCCCGGCCCCCCAGGGCCTCAGACTGTCGGATCGCCAATCTTTTACTAATCAAACACCTGTTCTATCCACTGACCAAAATCAAATCACCTATTAGATCAGTAGTCACTAAAACCCCACTGTTGAAAATCACTTTGGAGCTATGAGTTTTCAGTTTTCATTGTTTCAATTCAAGGATTCCAAACCCTCCAAAGAAAAGCATGCCATGATGGCCCTGTATCTCTTTAAACAACCCTCTCCCTACTAGAGTAGAGAGTATAAAGAGAGAGAGAGAGAGTCTACAGAGATGTTGCGGTCAAAAGTTTCGGGAGAACGCCGAACAGGCTGGTGTCAGGGAAAATTCAAAATTGCCTTTTTTAAAAGCAAGTATGAATCTATTAAGAATATATGCAGTTCGGTGCATGAACTGAAAGGTGGCATGTCAATAACAATATGACAAAAGAGATTACCGCCCCATTAGCTGTAGAGCCCTATATGACCCCAATAGGGGAATAAAATAAATTAAACATACCTCTTATCTGTTTATGTTTGTCTAACAGTTGACTGTTGACCCGGCTTGTCAGTTGCCAGCTGTCAATGTCCATTGTTTAGACAAGATGGAGAAGTATAACACCTTCTCCGTATTTCTATTGGCTAACGCACTTTGTTTTCTTGAATGTCCTAAAAAATTGCGGGGATAGTACGAGCCCTACTCCATATTATTGTAAAATAAAATCAATATGTATGTATAACTATAAAGGTCAATTTTACCCTCCCGAGTGACCCGACTCCCGAGTCCAATGACAACACCATCTCCAGAAGTAAGTCCCTCAAAAATACGGGCATACATACATACCAAACACGGTAACACAAAACACTACCACAAATCAAAGCCGCCCTATAACCGCTCTATGCACGGAGCTGAGCGCCGAGCAGAGCATGGATTGTGACGACTCACCTAACACCTTCTACACCAACGAAACTAGCCGATAGCACAATGATAGTTCTCACATCAGCACGTACTTAATTAGTTACACCTTTTACCCGGGTCGAAACACGGAGACTCCAGAATCTTCTGATGTTACAGTGGCACCAAACGACACGAATTCAAGAGATGACACTGCAATACGCCTAGTGGCCTTCACCTACATGGCCAGCCAAAACGCAAGAAGGCTCAAGGATTTTTAAAACAAGCATGCGCTGTGGAGTATCAGTACTATCCAAACACCACAAATCGCACTTTTCAATCGTGCATTTACATCCAAATTAATATTCATAGAAAGGAGGGACACGCACTTACTGGAAAGGTGGTCATGACTCAAACCAAGATGCATGAGCAAACCCGTAGTGATTGGCAAGTTATTAGTTATCAAGAGTATTCAGTCCGATGGTAGTTAAGAAAAAAGGACCAGACACTTCCATTTTACGGAGCGTTTCTCAACACAATCAAATCGTAGAACAGACTACGTAATTGTATTTTCAAATTCGTGAGCATCTGTATCAATACACTGTCTGTGTTAGCGCACGTTCTAATGTTTACAAAAGGAAACAGAACAGAGATTAGGAAGTTTTAGAATTCATTGATGAGTCACAAACAGTATAAAAACTTGTTCAGACGATTAGATGGGGCTAAGAATGAGTATGAGTGTCAGCCAGATGTAACAAGTCATCAAATATCAAATCTCTCGAATATACTAACTGTTCGGTACACTGAACAATCAGTACACTGATTGTTGCCATCGAGTACATGACACTTATCCAAAGAATATATCTACACAATTGCCACCACGTGGGAATTATTGTAAGATGACCCTTTCCGACGGCGCCATAGAGAATCAACCATGCAAGCAAGGCAAAAAACACTATATCGTATTATTTACCCCAGGCAAACTACCTGAGCTGGTTAACAACGCCGACATTTGGGCAAACGACCTGACAATGATGTCATACATGTCGTGACCACATTTTGTGGGACATGTCGGCCGCGAAATGTTGTCGTCGGGTCCGCTGCTGGCTGCATCACTGCAAACAGAATAAAATAGATCACATTTATTCATGGATTTACATCGCTGTCGTATACTAAGTTACCAACCCAGCAAACTATCCTCTATTTATATTTACTTAAACCATCCGTTAGGCGCAGGAAACCGAAATGGGCACCTTCAAGTTTCAAGTTTCAAGATTCATGTTTTAACCGAAATTTTCTTGAAAGAAAAATAGTTCTGTGTTACATATCAGTCCTCAAGGCTTCAGGCCAGGGCTGCTACAGCGGACAGATACTCCGGACACTCCGTAAATATTTGGCCGTCCATTTGTCCATATGGCCTTTGGCCTAACCTCATAAAGTTATGGGGTCACTGTAACAACGTTAAACCTTTAACTGATACTTTTTGGAATATATGTAAAAGTTATAACTTTTATTTGGTACAAAATAATATATATGAATGTTCAATTTGCACTTGAAAGGTTCTTATAAGTTTCACAATTTGGGCCTAAAATAAATTTTAGCCAATCAGAAATGCTTAACCTGACATGCGGTAGTTCGCATTTGATAGCTGGCACCTAAAACAGGACAAATATATATACTCACAAACCTGAATATTGCACCTACTTAGTTTGAGGAGGGCATATAAGGTATAAAAGGTGTCCTTTTTAACGTAAAAACATACAAAAATAAGTTATAACTTTTAACTTCATGAGGTTAGCCTTTGGCCATTGTATTTATTTACATCTGTCCTGTCTGGAAAGTGGAATAGCCATTTTTCAAAGTTTAGATTTTGGAAACTGTCTGAACTTAGAACTACTCCTGGCCCTCAATGTGGGTCCTGGGAGGCTGCCGCCTGCCACCTGGTCACCTCTCTAGAGAGGTGCCCCATAATGGTCGAGGCCATAGGGCCTACTAGTAGTATTAAGTATTTATAGTAGTAGGCCATAGGGCCATAGGCCCCATGTAGGGCTGTAGCCTGTAGGCTGGGGTTCGTGCGTAGTGATAGGGCCCATACTCCATAGCCCCAGGCCCATACATTGATTTCAGATTTGCTCTGGCATCCAAATAGTATCTTTTTTTGATAAAAACAACAAAAGTAGTTCTATAGCATCCTGTACAGATTTCTCATTTCAGAGTACAAACTACGACACTTGTCCTGTCCGGAGTCTTATATGTATTTATCTATTTTTTTAAAAACAATTATGTATCATGCATTCTATTTTTTGATACATATCCCCTTTTTACCTTTTGGATTTTACAGTTTTGATGACGTCATGACAATTCAATTATGCACCAATTGTCCGTCGAGATATCTGACTCACTGACTGATGAACTTTGATAATAAATTACAACGTCAATTTCTGAATTTCGTATCGTGGCCTCTATGGCGGTCGGGCCCTCAAGCCTCGCATGCCACGTGGTTCAAAACAAAACTACGATCCGATTTGAAAAACGAGAAACAAATCTCTACTCTTTTGAAGAAGAAAAAAATCAGGAAATTTGACTATGTATATTTGAGTCAGTCTTCTAGGACTTAGTTCGGACTTTGAAGTTTGGACACGGCAATTTACTGATCTGTGAATAGTGATTTGTATTTTAAATTATTTTCAACTTCTGTTGAACAACAGCCAAATACTGAAATACAGTGCGCCGTTTCACAATCCTCAGGCCTGAGCGGCTCAGCACCCGTCCAATCGCCCACAAGTCCACAACAGGCGATTTCTATTCCCTACGAATGAAAACATCAGGACAACAAGGTTTGAAATCTAGATTTACTTCTAAAACTTTTTGAAAGTTGTTCAAACATATATTTAGTTCAGAATTTCACTGGTCAGAAAATCATTCCACGACTACTAGTATTGTTTAGTATTGTAACGCGTGAAACTAAATATCACTCATACAGGATGTTGTGCAAAGTGAAAGTAGCGTCACTGCTGGTGGTTGGCTTTTTTATGAGTGCCTATGCTGCCATTCCGGCTACGAATGGGCTTAAAGATAATAGAAATGCGCATGCGGAGCCCACAGTCTGGGAGTCAGTTGTCAATTTAACACTGAAAACGTTCGATACCCCGGAACACACTTTTAACGACACGTACAACGATCCAAGGTCACTACCCAAAATTACGATAGGAGTATGTATTAACGCGACCGATTACGCAGATCCATTAATCACCTCCTGGGTGAAATTAACGTACGAGGTGCTAACTCACGAAGCGCGGATCTGAAGAGTCTGAAGGTCAAACTGGACAAGGAGGCACCATTTGGCAAGTGGAAGGGTCGTCGCCACATAATATTGATCAAGTCACCTTACGATTACTCAAGAATAAGGAATGCTGTAGCCTATGAATTATATTCCGGTATAAACGGTCAAATTGGACTGGCCACTGGGTTTGTACACTTGTTTATGAACGGGGAGGATTACGGGCTGTACTATGTTGTGGAGCGACTGGATGATGACTTTCTAGAGAACCATGGTGCTGGCAAGTCAGACTTTCTTTTAAAAGCGGATGACTTCAATTGGGGAGAACCTCGTTCCGGGTTCAAGCCCAAAGTAGACGTGGATAAGGATGGTGATTGGCTAGACGTGAAGAATGCACCAGAGGATGCGACCACAGGTAACTAAACACTCATGGACATCTATTTGCCCAGGGATTCAGTCTCATCAAACTAGATATCAATAACTCGAGAACAAACTCTAGTATTTACCATATATTTGCAGAGAGTTTGGACTGGAATGGTATGACGAGATGCTGGCGATAGTAAAGAAACTCACGCCAATTTATAAAGACAAGGACTGTACCTTAGCGGAGGAGTTTTTCCGAGACCATTTGACGTGGAGAGCTTAGTGCAGTTTATGGTAATCAACGCGATTATGTTTGAATCAAACGCTGTTAACCACAACTTCAACTTAAACAAGCCGGTTGATGGCACCAAATGGTTACATACAATTTGGGATAGAGACGGAGCACTCGACTACTGGCGACAAGCACAAGAGAGAGAAGAATTCAAGCATCAAGATCACAGATCCTCTTACAAACAAGGGGTGCTTTATCAGTACTTCAGTACATGGAACCAATTGTATAGAGCACTCTTCCGCGCTGAAGGCAATGTAGATCGCGTGGTGACCAGAATAGAGCTATTCACAGCCAAGGGTCGACCTTTGAGCGTTGAGAAAATAACCAAGACCATCGAAAAATTCGCAGGAATTGTTGGGGACTATGTAAACATAGATAAAGCCAACAGAATAACGCCAGAGGCGTGGAGGGAGGAGATAGATCGCATGCATATTTATATATATATATATATATATATATATAATAAATAATAATAATATATATATATACT